AATCAAAAAGAAGATAGAAGTTCTCATTCACGTGATAGGACAGTAGTTTTTGGTTGGATTTTATGACAAGGATAATAATAATCACAAAGACGATAGAAGTTCTCATTCGCGTGATAGGACCATATTTCTTTTGTCGGGGTTATGTAAATGAGGGTGATATAAATATATGACAAGAATAATAATAATCACAAAGACGATAGAAGTTCTCATTCACGTGATAGGACAGTAGTTTTTGGTTGGATTTTATGACAAGGATAATAATAATCACAAAGACGATATAGTTCTCATTCGCGTGATAGGACCATATTTCTTTTGCCGGCCGGGGTTATGTAAATGAGGGTGATGTAAAAATATTACAAAGATAATAATTATCACGAATGCGAGAGAACTTATGATTCACCTGATAGGACACTAATTTTGGGGTAGAGTATATGACAAGAATAATAATAATCACAAAGACGATAGAAGTTCTCATTCGTGTGATAGGACCATATTTCTTTTTGTCGGAGTTATGTAAATTAGGGGGATATAAATATATATGACAAAGATAATAATTATCACAAAAAAGATAGAAGTACTCATTCACGTGATTGGACAGTAGTTTTTGGTTGGATTTTATGACAAGGATAATAATAATCACAAAGACGATATAGAAGTTTTCATTCGCGTGATAGGACCATATTTCTTTTGTCGGGGTTATGTAAATGAGGATGATATAAATATATGACAAGAATAATAATAATCAGAAAGACGATAGAAGTTCTCATTCACGTGATAGGACAGTAGTTTTTGGTTGGATTTTATGACAAGGATAATAATAATCATAAAGACGATAGAAGTTCTCATTCGCGTGATATGACCATATTTTTTTGTCGGGGTTATGTAAATGAGGGTGATATAAATATATATGACAAAGATAATAATTATCACAAAAACGATAGAAGTTCTCATTCATGTGATAGGACCATATTTCTTTTGTCGGGGTTATGTAAATGAGGGTGATATAAATATATGACAAGAATAATAATAATCACAAAGAAGATAGAAGTTCTCATTCGCGTGATAGGACCATATTTCTTTTGTCGGAGTTATGTAAATGAGGGTGATATAAATATATGACAAGAATAATAATAATCACAAAGACGATAGAAGTTCTCATTCACGTGATAGGACAGTAGTTTTTGGTTGGATTTTATGACAAGGATAATACTAATCATAAAGACGATAGAAGTTCTCATTCATGTGATAGGACCATATTTCTTTTGTCGGGGTTATGTAAATGAGGATGATATGACAAGAATAATAATAATCACAAAGAAGATAGAAGTTCTCATTCACGTGATAGGACTGTAGTTTTTGGTTGGATTTTATGACAAGGATAATACTAATCATAAAGACGATAGAAGTTCTCATTCGCGTTATAGGACCATATTTTTTTTGTCGGGGTTATGTAAATGAGGGTGATATAATTATATGACAAAGATAATAATTATCACAAAAACGATAGAAGTTCTCATTCGCGTAATAGGACCATAATTGGTTGTGGTTCATGTAAATGAATATGATAATACAGTACGTTTGGCAAGGATAATAATAATCGTAAAAACGATAGAAGTTCTCATTCACGCGATAGGACCATTGTTGGGGTGTATGTAAATGAGGATCATATAAATATATGACAAAGATAATAATAATCACAAAGACGATAGAAGTTTTCATTCACGTGATAGGACCATAGTTTTTTGATGGGGTTATAATGTAGATGAGGATGAAAGAAAACAAGTCAAACATGCAGTGCAGAGGAGCACAGGCGAAGAGAGGGAGATCGAGAGGGTGCGAGAGGAAGGGAAAGAGGGAACAAGAGAGAGAGAGAGAGAGAGAGAGTGACAGAGAGAGCCTGGGTCTATATTTCGGAGAGAGAGAGAGAGGGTCCATGTGGTGAAAATGATTTTTTTCGAAACTTCCAAGGGTATATGATGAACATTACATCGAACTTCTGTAGGAAAGAGAGAGGGGGTGGGGGGGGGGGGGGACAGAGAGAGATAGAGAGAGAGAGCGGTATCTGGATAGACATATTTATTGTATTTCTTTCATGTTTATCTGAACGATTATGTGGTCATTCATTTTCAAATTGCTTTCTTTCTGATATTCTTTTCTGAATGCATTTCACGGACATAACAATTGGAAAAAATGATAAGACTTCATGTATCCCGTAGGCCTACTTGAAATTGTCTGTTATAAATGTATATCAAAAAGACTGATCAGTCGAAGCTGAGACTAGATTGAGACGGTTGCGTAACCTTGCATAACCATTAGCTCGGTGGCTTTGAAATAGCTGTGTGTGACAGATTGATCATTGCCATTTCCAGCCATTTGATTAGTTCTAATCCAACGAAAGATACCCTAGGGTATCGTCAATTCGAGTTTCAACTCCTTGTTTTCCACCTCCCTGGTCAAACCATAGGTTTATGGTCAAACTCACTCTGCAAGGAGATTATAACTCCCTTGATTTGTGCGATACAATCCTGAACGGTACTTGCTCTCACACAAACGCACACAGATGCTGGTACCATGGAGCTATAAAAAAGAACATGGACCGAAGCCATTCGAATACAGTCGCTTCCTCGCCGTGGAGCGGGGTCAGCGCGGTGTCAAAATTGCTGTTTGTCTTCTGTCCATGTGGCTTGCGCCGGGCGGGGCGAACGTAACACAGTGTTTCAATATCGATTATACCATGAACCATTTACAACAGTAGATGGCGCTAGTATACAACATCATGAGCCGGTTTAAATACAGGCAGCTTGGAACTAATAATTGATTTATTAATTACTGTTTAATTCACTAAAAAAAAAAAAAAGTATTTCAGCGGTGGAGATTGGTTAAAGATATTCCTATTGCATCTTGTTATAACATCAAAGAGTTTCAGATGAATTAAATATTTTTACCAAAACTTTGTAAAAATTTAATGCCACTGGAGCAAACTTTACTCATCAAGAATGAGCAAAACTAAAAATAGACAAAAATTGGAGCAAACTTTACTCAACAAGAATGAGCAAAACTTAAAAAGGAAAAAAAAAGAGTAAATAGTCAGAGTTTGCTCAATATAGGAGACTTGTACGTTGTAAAAAGTACATTATTGCTCAATATTGAGCACTCTTGTGTTTACTTCGGCGATATTTTACCCCATGGATTTAGAGTGTAATGGTTCCCAATTACATTTGCGCCCTAATTCTGAATATTTTAACTTCATGCATGCCCTATTTGTTTCAAAGGTTTTTAATTTCCATTTCCGGGCATTAGTTTGATCTGTCTTGAAGATGTTGTTCTCTCTTGAAATATCACTAGCCCTAGCCCTATTTTTTTTTCGCGTAGGGATATTGAAAATGCTTGTCCTCCAAGACAAGGAGAAAAGGCTTTAATTGTACATAATAGGAACAAAACATCAACAAATAATCTTGTCAGGAATTGTATTTTAAGTTTAACCCCTTAGGTAATTCTGCACGGTGACAAAAAAGCTCCGCTTTTTTTTAGGTGAAGTGTTTTGTTTGTTTGTTGTTGTTTTTTTTTTTTTTTTTTTGGGGGGGGGAGCTATGTCTGAAACTCACTGCATACCGATTTTTCTTTTTTAATAATTAACAGCCTGAAAAAGAAGAAGAAAAAGTTCTGGACCCCATTAGGCCTACAGTGTTTTATTAGTGCGGACATTTACTTCTGTTTGGTATTTTGCACAGCGGCCCTATACTTGATGTATGCCCTTTTTATCACTGTCAATAGGGACTTTTAGATTTGCCGAACGACAACGTGGATTGCTACGATCGACGTCCTGTTAATGCACTGCCTTGAAAGGACGTCACACGTATCAGTCCACGCAAATCTAAAAGTCCCTATTTTGTAAAGTATTGGAACTCTCGAATAAATATATATTTTCTTCTCTCGTTCACTTAATCACTTTGCAGCTAGCCCTATTTGTGTCTTGAATGTACGTGCATTTCAATAAAAGACGAACACATGCATGCCTTTGCGAGGAGGGAGGGTTGGTTCAATTTCTTTTCAATTCGTTGATTGATGCCTTGTCAGAAATACTCTGAGAAATTTTTAATGTAACTATTAAAATATTTATGATGCCAACTTGATAGCAGAATTGAATAGCCCCAATACCTTTTCACTGGTGCCATGTTAGGGAATTCCACGCATACTGAATTAAATAGACCAATTTTCTATTCGTTATGCTATGTCAGGGTGCTATACGCAATAGCCCATTGTCATATCACTAACTGAACAAAAGTTTGTATACGGGCAGTCTTGAAAACATCGGTCCACATTATGAAGAGCTCGGTTCTAAAAGGTACATCTATAAAGCCAAGTTCTGAGAAAAACACGTTTTTTAAGTTACAGTTTGGACTGATACTTTGGCTGATTCAAGTATAAAATCACTCTTTAACAAAAATCTAAGCCTTCACAAATATTTTACATGAATTTATGCCTTTTAAATATTTTTGGTGGATGTAGCAGGCGCGGATCCAGGGGGGGGGGGGGGGGGCGAGCGGGCCTTGCCCCTCCCAGTGGCCCCCAAAGTTTGTTTAATTTTTTTTTATTGGTGACCAGAAATGTAGAAATTTTGAAAAATTATTGTGGAAAAGAAACGAAATAATTGGAAATCTATATGCAAGCTGAACGAGGAAATTGTTGAACAAATTTATGTGGGATTTGTTTAAAATGTGAATGTGTAACTTCATCTGCAAATATATTTTATATGAAACATTTATTTGTAACTTTATAAGTAATTGTTCGCTTGCAAAGTTGAAGATTATTTGTATTTTTTTAATAAAATGTTATAAATTATGTGAAATTTTGTTTATGAGAGAAATTAATAAAAACCTATGAAAAAACAAAAAACATTCAGACCCGAAATCATGAAAATTAATAAGTTGAAAAACTCTCCCGCTGTATCAGACAGTCAGTGGCCCCGTGGCTTACCATAAGCACAGCATTTACGAAAAGCCATCCACCACTGGATCTCTGCAAACATTCATGCATTTTGTCTGGGAAGTTTGAACATCGCTTTTAACCTGCTTTGTATGATGTTTCAATTTTTGGAATGGACGGTAAATATATTTAAAATGATTTATAGTTTTTGATATACTTAGATATCTCAGGGCATCACATTTAGCCTATATATTTACGGAAAACATATATTTTCTATAGACTATCGCGTTACTTTTGCAACCCGCAGAAGTGGCATGTTTTCACCGGGGCTCCACGGGAAACTGTGGGGCGCAGAACCACGGTACTGCTGCTCACACTGGGAAATGACTTCAGTCATGCATCATCATATGCATTTGTCTTCTTTACCTTAATTCTACCCGATTTTGGGAGAAGAGTCTTGTAATATCACCAGCCGGGCTTTCATTGTCGCTCTAGGTTATTATACATGATATATCTGGAGGTATATTTTGCTGTTTTACTTTAGACTAAGACTAGATTCTAAGAGTAAGAGTAAGACCAACTGGGTGTCGATTTGTATCCGTGGTTGGGGGGATGATAGGTGCCAAAATATTTTCGGCAATGGATCAAAGCAACCAAGAGGTAGAAGCGTGTGGCAAGTTGCACCCCTCCCAAGCACGTAGCCATGATTTCATTTAAGGGGGCGGTAGTGAGCACGCGAAGCGCGGTCCCTAGAGGGTTGCGTGCAGGGAGGGGGAGTTCCCCCCGCGAAGCGCGGAAGCTTTGACGTTTCACTAAATTATTAGAGAAAGAAGACAATTCGTTGGACCGTTCTTGACTCTTAATCCTTGTTTGAATCAAGTTCCACTTCCTCCACGCGTAGCGCGGAAGCTCTGACGTTTCATTAGATTATTAAAGACAGAAGACGATTCGATGTACCATTCTCAACTCTCTCTTAATCCTTGCTTGAATCAAGTTCCCCTACTTCCGCGCATAGCGCGGAAGCTCTGACTTAACATCAGATTATTATTAGTAGTTTATGATATAGACTACAAGCACGAAGCAGACTGCATTAGCAGACTACGAGTGTAGCAGAGCATAGCAGTCTACAATAGCCACCCTCACCACTAGAGGGCGCTATTCCTATTGGAAGCTTCCCTGGAATAGAGTCAACCTGAACTCTCTCTCTCATGCAACCGACACCTCAACCGAACAGACGTACCTTTACTGGAAGTTAAGGATGTCAAGCCTGATTGCCTGATACATTTCCAGTGAGTATTTCATGTCTGGTTATGGTGTCTATAAAGTAGCTCCCAAGTCTACTTCATTGGCGTCACGGACTTTTAGGACCTCGAAATGCACCGTTTTGGGGTAACTTGTTGTGTTGTTTTGTCAATTTATTTTGTCAAAACGGGGCGTGGACCTAAATTTGCCGAGTTGCGCTTTGGAGCTGTGCGGGGTAATGCCTGCTAGTTTCCTAGTGGAAACAAATTTTCCGGTTGGGGGTGGTGGGCGTTGCCTGCCCGTAGTTCCGGCCGACCATTTGTTTTAAAATGGTGAATTTTAAACTTTATGTGCCTTTACGGGAGCGAGCGCCGTGAAGGGCTGACAGGTTCGGTGGGGGCTGGGTAGGCCCATGGCCGGATGGCTGCAGTGAAATACGGTGTTTTATATCCCGGGAGTGGATGTGTTATGTTATTTGTGGCTAGTTTTAATATAAGTGTGGTGAATGTCCTGTTTTATGTATTTTTAATGTTGGGTGTGATGGAATGATGGTATATCATTATCAACCTGTTGGCTTAAACAGGATGAGATGGTCAGCCATGTTGAATGTTTATGGAAGCATTGTTATTGAATGGCGTGAATTAATGTGATGTGTAGAACAATGGATAATGGATGTGGGAAACATTCCAGGAATAACCGAGGGGGGATGGTTGTATATATATCCCCAGGCTGGGTTATGTTTTTCCATTCATATCCCCCCGAGCGTGAATCTTGAGGAGAATGGAATTCAAGATTCGCACACGTTCGCTGGAGGGGATAGACCAATCAGGGCGGCGGAATTTCGCCCACCCAGATCCTCCGGAGTACGTCCCCATTCGCTCACGTGTTGAGAAGTTTCAATTTCTGAACAGGTGCGAGAGTTTGAGATTTCTCGGAAACAGCGGAGGATATCTGGGTGCGTGAGCGTTGCGATCTATTTTATTGACTCGACTGTCAACAACAAACAAAAGTCTTGCTCCTGCAAAATCGCAAACTCCTTCAACTTACAAGTACTTTTGGAGTTGTGAGAGGTGGGATTCTCGTGGATCGTAAGGTAGGAAATCCGTTGCTTTTGCCTTTTAATCATTGCTTTTTCTCCTTTATCCCGATTTTGTCGGGCTTTTCCTTCGTTTATTTTTTGATACGTGGACTGGCTGTATACGTGTGTGAGTGCTCGTGTTACCAGCAGTTCCGTCTAGGCCCACCTACCCGCTTGGTGGTAGGGGCCAGGGGCTGTGTTTTAGCCAATTATTAAATAATTAAAAATAAAGGGGGAATAGGAGACAAATAAAGCTAGTGATTATTTGTGGAACATAAGCTTTTTGGATTTGTTTAATTTGTTTTCAGAGGCGTAAAGCTTATTGAGAATAAATATAGATTGAGTGGATATCGTGGGGGTTCTGCTAGCTAGCTGCTCCCAGGAGTCCTGCTCTTGTGAAGGGGATTCTAGTCTCCTTCGCAGGATTGGTTAGGTTGATTCTATTAATTATTATATAAAATAACTTAATCAAATTGTAGGGTGTAAACAATTTCCAATTATTAAATAGTTCTTAACAATCCTTACTCCTTAGGTTAGTTTAGGGCAAATATTTCAGATTTGTTGGTCTGTTTGTTTAGTTGGTGGAGGGAGTTGTATTTATAATTCCCTTCGCGAATTGAATAGAACCTAGAGGCTAGACTCTAGACCTCTACTAACTAGGTTAGGTTACTTGTACTTTATTACATAACTCGCTTTGGTTGGAATCTGTATTAATTGTGATGTTGTTCTGGTGAATCTATAACTGGAATTGCTTTTGATTGTTTGTTTATCTTGGTTGACTGTTCGGTTTTAACTCCGTTGTAGGGGTGTTTTCCGGGAAACAGAAGATACCAGATAAATAGATAGCACTTTTGTGACCGTGGGTGAGGACTTGGCTCTGGGAGTTTTATCCCAGGGTAGTCGTGAGTCTTGGCGGTGCGGAGGTGGGGCAGTTGTAGTGTTGGAGGATTAGGGCATCTATTGCATTATACAGATACAATTATAGTATTTGTTATTTCTCATATTTAGGAACTGTTTTAGAATATAAGAATAATTATAGACTTAGAGTTTAATACTGGTATTAGGGATTAAATTTAGTAGGACATTGGGTTTATTACAGTCAGTGCCGGGGTGGGTATATCTTACCCTGTCTCTGGTGTATTGCATTGGTTAGGGCGCAAGGAGGGGTGTAGCTCCTTCTTTTTATTTCATCGAACCTCTCAGGCGGGGGAGTAATAGCTCATTCTTGAGTGAAGTAGGCTCCTTGTCGATATTTTATATCGGTTCGGTGAATTGATCTAAGGCAGTAGGGGTCTGTGTTTCCTTTGTTTTGATTGTGATTGTGATTGCAATTGTGCTAAAATATCCTAGTGTGTTCTATCCAATTATTTACCTGTGGTTGTATGGGTATTAATAATTGTTGGGTAGTCTAATTAATCTTCTGGGATATATTTTATTGGTGGTTATATATCCTGGTATATTGTTCTGTTCAATAACTTCAATTATTCACCTGCGGTTGTAGGGTGTTTATAATTGCTGAATAGATCAATTAATATTCTGGGATTTATTTTATTGTTGTAGGTTTTGTCCTATTGTTGAAGGATTTAACCTAGCACTGTGGGGATATGGAGAAGGTCCCTATTAATAGTTGTACGTTTGAGGAGTTGCTGGCCATGCCCGGGGTAAGTCCTGTTCGAGCGGGGCGTATTTTAGAACTCCGGGAAAAGCATGGGGGGATTACTCCTGAGCTGTTGGAGTCCTCTGCTATGTTTGCGGATGTAGGCAATCTGCAAGGCTGGTTTGACTTCCGATCGCGTTTGGATTATGGGGGAGAGTCCCCCAGGATGCCATCTAGGGCAATATTCCAAACGGGCGATTTTTGGAGTAGCACGCTCCGGGGGAGAGGATCCGGAGAATCCGGAGGAAGAAGTCTTGGGGCACAGGTTTATCCCCATGACAGTTATCCTCCCCCGGTGAGAGAGTCGGGCGGGTTTTCCCGCGCGAATTCGTGGAGATATGAAGGTGGGGAAGATACTTCCCTACCAGGGCCGGCCCGGACTTTTCCAACCCTGCCCCCGGAAATGGGCGATGCATTCCCCCGACCGTCTTTGTCTAGAGGGGAGGGAGATTGGGGACGCAACCGAGGGAGGGCTTCTTATCAGCCACTCCCCAAATCGATCGGATTCGACGGGCGCGGGAATTGGCGCGCGTTCTTCCGAAAATTCTCCGCATTTGCGGATGCCTGCGAGTGGGATTATCCACAACGCCTAAACCAGTTGTGCTGGTGTCTGGACGGTCAGGCAAGCGAGTTTTTCGATAGGATTCAGGAGCGGGACCCCGATATGGGTTATTTCGGGGTAGTACGCCAGCTGGAGGGCCGGTTTGGATACCGGGAGCCTCCGGAGGCAACCCTGCTTGAATTTAACACTGCTAAGCAGGGTCTTACGGAATCCTTGCCTGAATGGGCAGACAAATTGCATCGGCTTGCATCCCGGGCATTTCCCGGGGTCCCAGATACTTACGTGCAGCGGCAACTGGTATTGCGTTTATGTCAGGGCTGTATCGACAGCGATGCTGGGTGTCATGCCCTTAATCAGCGCCTCTCTAACGTTGGGGAAGCAGTGGAGGCAATCCGCTGGTTCCAGCACGCGCATACGGTCATGTACGGCCGTACCTGGCAGGCCAAAGTGATGGCGACCGAATCGGGCGAGGTCAGAGGGCCCGAGGTGCGAAGGGTGGACATTGCCCCGCGACCGGCGCAGGGCACTCCTTCCACCCCTTCCCCTTCCAGACTTGAGACCCGGATGTCAGAGTTGGAGGGACGATCGGATAAGCGAATATCCGATTTAGCGAAGAGCTTTGATAACCGGATGTCTGGTTTGGTGAAAAGTTTGGATAGCCAGATATCTGGTTTGTCTTCCAGTTTGGATATCCGGATATCCGGTTTGGAGAAAAACCTGGAGAAGATTGCCAAGGCTCTAGGTGGGGCGCGAGGGATTTCACAGACCCTGCCGCCCAAGACCCAGTGGGTCGGACGAGGGTCGGACGAGAAGTACCTGGTCGAGGAGCAGATGTAGTAAAGTCTGACGAGTTAGGGATGGATGAGGTCCTCCCTGCCATTTCAGGAAAAGGCTTATGTCGGCAAGCTTCTCAATATTAGTTCTGTGGCAGTTGTTTTTTCCTCTTAGGTAATTACCTCTTACCATACTAGATTACCTTATGGGTGATTTCATCTTCGAACTGATAAGTACATGTAATTTATCGTTCCTGTACTATCTGTTATACATGGTGGGGGTATGGTATGGATTTTCCCATGATTTCCAGGATAGTTGGGAATCCTGTGATATTTATGTGATCTAGTAAGAGGATTAAGACAAAAATATCTTCTTATGGCTACCATGTCCACTTCTAAGTTATCTACATGAAAGCACATAAACATTCCCTTAGTCCATGCATACTGGAGATATGATCTTCATGTACTTCAGAATGTATGGATGTATATTAGTTTAATCCTAGTTTTGTGGAATTAGTACAATTTGTCAAAATGCTTACATGTATGTGGATCTCTCCGTTGGAGTGAAACCTGTCCTACATGCTAATCATGTCGGTCATATTCATTAATCATCTTGACAAATGGGTGAATGAGTTTATTTGGAGTATGCGTTTTACTCTATGTTTCAGTACACATCCTTTTGGCAGGCATTTTTGTAATTAGGGTAGTTTTCTGTGGAGAGTTTCTCATTCAGCTTTCTTGTAGTAGTCTTTTCCTTGGGATAGCAAAGTAAGGACTTTGCCATAGACATGTCAAAGTTGGCTGTAAGTTAGCCTCCTGCTCCATGTCCTTATCCCTGTATACATGTAGCACTGCTGCTTGTTGTAGAAATCTAGCACGGTCCATATTTATGCCTGTGTTCATGGTTTCCTCGTTCTTCAAGTGACTTAAGGGGGATGACGATAAGTATCCCTGCAATGTTTTGAGTTGGGTGACAATGTGATAGACCCCTGCAAGTGTTTGAGAGGGGTGTCGATGTGACTGACCCCTGTAATGTTTTAAGTGGGGTGTTGATGTATACTCCACATTTTCTAGCTATCAAGGTATTCCTTGACCAGCTCCCATTGGGAAGTAGGGGTAAGCGACCTCTCTTTCGGCTTTCAGGGTATTCCTTGAACAATTCCCTCTGGGATGGCGGGGTTAGTGACCCCGGTTTGTGATTATTGGGATATTTTGATGATTTGTTTAAATTTAGCAAACTGGGTATGGTTTCATCGAGGCCATTTGATTTGAACTACATCGGTTTAAATCAATTGCACATTGCTGGCACTCGTGTCACCCTTTGATTTCGTTTGCTTCCGATTTTCCTTTTTTAGAAACAAAAACTATACTGTTTGGATCACCCTTGTTTGTTTTTTTCAGTACAAAGAAAGGGGATCGGCATGATGTTTTCTATTATATTGTGTTTATAATGAAATTGCCCTTTGAGGGCGTGATGTTTTTATAATGGGATGTATAATGGGGTTGCCCTTTGTAGTTGGCAAAGGGAGGAGGGTTTTGTTCAAGGAAAGGAAAGGAAAACAGTTTTTTTTTCCGGAGGACAACATTGTTTTGTTTAAATTTTGTATGTTGTGATTGATGGACCTGGCTGTTACAAAAGCCGGTCTTAGCGGGTTTCAGCCACTGATTGTGGCACCCAAGTTTTTTTTGAGGGGTTTAGGTTCTCCCTGGGATGAGTTCTTTAAAACGGGGGGGAATGTAGTAGTTTATGATATAGACTACAAGCACGAAGCAGACTGCATTAGCAGACTACGAGTGTAGCAGAGCATAGCAGTCTACAATAGCCACCCTCACCACTAGAGGGCGCTATTCCTATTGGAAGCTTCCCTGGAATAGAGTCAACCTGAACTCTCTCTCTCATGCAACCGACACCTCAACCGAACAGACGTACCTTTACTGGAAGTTAAGGATGTCAAGCCTGATTGCCTGATACATTTCCAGTGAGTATTTCATGTCTGGTTATGGTGTCTATAAAGTAGCTCCCAAGTCTACTTCAATTCGTTGGACCGTTCTTGACTCTTAATCCTTGTTTGAATCAAGTTCCACTTCCTCCACGCGTAGCGCGGAAGCTCTGACGTTTCATTAGATTATTAAAGACAGAAGACGATTCGATGTACCATTCTCAACTCTCTCTTAATCCTTGCTTGAATCAAGTTCCCCTACTTCCGCGCATAGCGCGGAAGCTCTGACTTAACATCAGATTATTAACGAAAGAAGACGATTCGATGTACTATTCTCGACTCTTAATCCTTAATGTTTGAATCAAGTTCCCCTTACCCTTCTGACGTTTCATTAGATTATTAAAGAAAGAAGACGATCCTATGTACCATTCTCGTCTCTTAATCCTTGTCTGAATTCATTTTCGCCCATTCCTGCGCGAAGCACGGAAGCTTTCACATTAGAGAAAGAAGACTTGTTGTTGTATCGTGTCCTTCATGAATTCAGTTTCTCCCCTACCACGCGAAGCGCGGAAGCTTTGACGTTTCACTTAATTATAAGAGAAAGAAGACAATTTGTTGGACCGTTCTCGACTCTTAATCCTTGTTTGAATCAAGTTCCCCTTCCTCCGCACGTAACGCGGAAGCTCTGACGTTTCATCAGATTATTAAAGAAAGAAGACGATTCGATGTACCATTCTCGACTCTTAATCCTTAATGTTTGAATCAAATTCCCCCTTCCCCGCGCATAGCGCGGAAGCTCTGATGTTTCATTAGATGATTAAAGAAAGAAGACGATCCTATGTACCATTCTCGACTCTTAATCCTTGTCTGTATCCATTTTCGCCCATTCCGCGCTTAGCGCGGAAGCTTTCACGTGTCATTAAATTATTCGTAAAAGAAGACGCTTCGTTGTATCGTGTACTTTGACGTTTCATTTGATTATTATGCTTAATCCACGTCTGAATTCAGTTGCCCCCTGACAACTTTGCCCTTTTCACTGAATTATTAGAGAAAGAAGACGATTCGTTGTACTGTTCTCTATATTAATCCTTGTCAGAATTCAGTTTCCCCACTGAAAATAATTTGTGTTACAAATAAGTTGTGACATAATAATCTTTCTCCAATAATGAAAAATCTTTTAGGAAATATCAGGAAATAAAATGAGTGAAAAAAACAAAAATAAAGATACAATGACGTGAATTTTAAAAAGGGTGAACGGAAACATCATAACAACTAGAGAACTATTTTATAAGTCATACTAATGTCCGAAAATCTTTCTCCTTGTCTCCGATCTCATCACGAAATCGTCACAGAGTTCATCTATGTTTACACTGTCCAGGATTGTCTGATGTGCATTGCAGATTGCTATTTTTGCACTTCGCGCTTAACATTTAGCTCGTTGCTTTTTGACGCTGCGTCTTTGCATTTGGCGCACTGCATTTCTATGATGCTGTTGATTGAACAAATTGAATAAATTCATCAATTCCTGATGAAGCCGTATGAGCGAGAATTCAATTTATTCTTGTCTTATATACGGTTGTCTTATTTACTTCAGATATATGTATGTATTATGAAAATGAGATAGCAAAATGTGTATATTGATGGTCATCTTGCGAGTAATAACTATTAACTACTCTCATCGGGCTCTCATCCTTAATTTTTTCTCTTCATTTTTTTTTTTTTTTTTTGATGGTGAATTATTGGGGGGGATGATTGTACAGGGCTACAGGCCATCCCCCCCACCTGAAATATTGGGGGGGATATATCCCCCCATCCCCCCCGGGATCGACACCCATGACTAAGACCTACATAAAGGCAAAGCTGAAGTTGAGACTTAGTTTAGGACTCTAAAGGCCTCTAGACTAGAGCCTAGGCTAGAGGTCTACTTGAATTATTTAAGACTTGATGCGTGACTAGTAGTGACCTGGGCAGCGTTTCATGAAACCGGCATCAGTACAAGTTCACTGACAACACATTGAAACGTTTGTTAAACTTAATACACACATTTCAATGGGATGCCGGCCGTGAACTTGTACTTATGACGGTTTCGTGAGACGCTGCCCTATGGCCCTAGTGACTAGTCTCTCTCGATCTCGATCTCTGGCGCTGCTCTCATGCAATCATGTTGCACCCGTTACAACTTATGCATCATCTTTCAAAAACTTACTTCATGAGCTTGAACCCTCCCATCCAAACTAATTAACAGGTAAACAACATTCAAAATGTTTAACTTTATTTATAATTCTAGACTTAAAATATGCATGATCACCCTTTATAATCTGACAATATCCCCATTAACCCAGTTGACCACATGAACAGGTGATAGTGATTATAAATTTTGTAATAAATATAAAGTTTTTGTTAAAACTTCAAGAGTTTTATTGAAAAAAGGCCTTATTTGCAGGTCATCCAATCTTGAATTGAATACCGGTAATAATATTTTAAACATCCTAATAAAAAACATTCTTTTGTTTTTCTTTTGTGTGTGTTGAATCAGAGAAAGTAAGAGGTCAGAAGAGGAAGTGTGAGTCTAGTGAAGAGGAACCAAGCAAGCTTACGACCAACAAACAAGTAGTGGAAGAAGGGAAGTCATGGTGGACATGTATGATGCTAGGAGTACATCAAGATAACACCAAACCACAGGGGAGGAAAGTGGACATGACCCAGAAAGATAACTCAGATAATAAATGAAATGAGCAAAACACTGACTACTACCATACCAGCAGAACATTGAACCAATCCATTGCCTTGTTTCAGGCTCCTGGACAACGAATGGTGCAGGGAAACTATTCAGGTAATGTTATTACATTTATTTGGGGATTTAGAACACAGCATACCAGAAAGAAGTTATGAGTGGGAACCCGATGAAACGTTCTTCGTCAAGCTCAACGTCGACACTAAGGGCTCAGCCATCGTAGAAAAACTCAGCTGCAGAAGGTGAATAAGGAGAAGAAGAAGGATAGGAAGAAGAAGATGAATAAAGAAGAAAAGAAGAAGGTGAAGGAGAAGACGAAGGAGGAGGAGGAGGAGGAGGAGGAGGAGGAGGAGGAGGAGGAGGAAAAGAGGAATAAAAAGTAGATTATTGCAGTCAAATGAATAATAAACTACAGTACGAGTTTACATATATATTCAATTCCACAGCCATAAGGAACTTGCACTTTATGGACTGAAAACATCTACATAAAATTTAAATGTAGGAAAAGATGAAAGAGTGAATATCAGTCTAAAAAATGCATGTCTTTCAATTCCTCCCCCCCTCCCCCATTTTGTGTACACCACAGTCATGGCAAGTGAGACTATGGATCCTGATGTTTGTGAGCAGTGCCAATCAATACGGCCGGCCACACCCCCTATAGATTCTTGCTGTGGTTCTGGGTGTGCAGTGTGTGTCTATGATATTCATGATCAGGAGATCCAACTGTGGAAAAAGACTTGCAAGCGTAAACATGGTGCAGAGGAAATTCAGGTGAGTTTTATTTATTCCCCTCGAACTTGAAAGTTGTGCTTCAGTTACTTCTTAGATTAAATCCTCTGTAATTTTCAATATACTGATTGCTGTGATTAGTTTAGTGAAATGGAATTAATGTATACTGGGAACTACAGTGCCCTGTACTTTAAATGGAAGAAGAGGTATCATGTTTGAATATCATTTTCATAATTAAAGAACTTGAGATGTAACTACACATAACCTTACTGTCCTTGATTAAATCATTTTGTTTTTTGCTGGATATATTCTTAAATGTTTAGTATCAGAACTACTTCTAATAATTCATAATTATGTTCCCTTTGTTCAAGATTGAAGACAATACAACTGTAATGGACCTGATGGACTACAGATATTACACTCTGCAATCGATTGTTCCAGTCTGTGCAAATACAGCTGTGTACAGATTCATGCTTCCACCTGGAAGGAAACTGGACCTGTCTATTGCAAAGCATATCATCCTCAGGTAAAACTCATAGGACGTCAATGTTTATTATTTTAGAATATTATAAGATTAATAAACATGCCACCATCTCTCCCTTTGTAATGTTTAAATTTGCTTTTACCTTATTTTAATTTTTTAGTTATTTAGTTTTTATGCCTCTGCTACAAGGTAGCCGGAGGCATTATGTTTTCGGGTTGTCCGTCCGTCCGTCTGTACATCCCGTTCTCGTGATCGTTTTATCTCAAGAACCGATCGATGGCTTCCCGCCTAACTTATGTCCTTTATGTATCTTGCAAAGCTAATGAACTTATTAGATTTTGGGGTCACGAGGTCAAAGATCAAAGGGTCATACAATCAAACTTGAATTTTTTTACAAATTGCTTCTGTTTTGGTTTGTAAAATTGCTCTATGGCGGAGGCATCATATTTTGACTGTGCGCAGTCGAGGGTCTACGGTACATGTACATGTATCTTGTTATCTTGTTGAGAATCTTTTTATGTGTATTATATTGTGTCTGCGAGTGGTGTAAAAGTTCTCTCTACCTGCTCATCTCGTATAATGTCAGGTGGCACTCTTTTTGTTTCTCCTTTGGTATCATCCTCATAGGGGTATACACAATGGAAAGGTGATAACCAGGCAGTACACACCCATCTCATCACCACATGATGCAGGATTCTTTGAAGTCCTTATTAAGGTATGCAGAGGGATATAGAGTGGTGAAGTGTGACGTCATCCAAAAGCTATTATTGGAATTTCTCAAAAGAAAGAGGATCATAAATAATGTCTGAATGTCGAAAACCAATTGAATATGTTAAGTATTGGCTGAGATATGACCATCTGAATAAAAAAATGTCCTATAGGTACTCAATGTTATATTGCTCTGGTTCATAACATTACAAGCCAGAGCAATATAACACTGAGTTCCTATAGGACATCTATTTATTCAGATGGTCATATCTCGGCCAATACTTAACATATTCAATTGGTTTTCGACATTCAGACATTATTTTTGATGCTCTTTTGGAAAATGAAGAAGAAGAAAAAATTGAAAAATTCTAAAACTAGATTTTTATGACGTCAGAGCTTCGGTACTCCATTCGTGAGAGGCTGTTAAATTGTGTTGTATGAAACTCTCAAACATAATGAGAGGTTAGGACAGAAGATATATATATATATATATATATATATATATATATATATAGTACTTGTACTGATTCTTTTTTTTTAATCGAATTTGCTCTCTGTATATTTATAAGCATACTGTAAGAGGTGAAAACAAAATTAGAGTTTATAGCTACAGTTCTAGGAAGAAAATGAATTGAATAATTTTGTTTTTCTTTCTTTAATAGCCCTACCATATCAACATCTACACCTGTATACTCAACTCGACCATTGTCTGCTTTGTATGTTCAAGTTTTTTTAATGGACATATACAGGAATAAATCTTTCCTCACACTAATGAGAAAACATAACATGATCTTAATTGTGCTTAAATTTGATTATAGAGGCCTACATACTTATTAATTTGTCATGATATGAAATTTATCTTTTTTTGCAGTTGTACCCCGGTGGAGATATGTCTCAGTATATTAAGCAATGGAAGATAGGCGATGAAGTAGAATGGAGAGGACCCTTTGGATCATTTACATACCAACCAAATGAGGTAATCTAACAGTTCATAGGAGCCTGAGTACAATTCATTTACATACCAACCAAACAAGGTAATCTAACAGTTCATAGGAGCCAGAGTACAATTAATTTACATACCAACCAAACAAGGTAATCTAACAGTTCATAGGAGCCAGAGTACAATTAATTTGCATACCAACCAAACGAGGTAATCTAACAGTTCATAGGAGCCAGAGTACAATTAATTTACATACCAACCAAACAAGGTAATCTAACAGTTCATAGGAGCCAGAGTACAATTAATTTACATACCAACCAAACGAGGTAATCTAACAGTTCATAGGAGCCAGAGTACAATTAATTTACATACCAACCAAACGAGGTAATCTAACAGTTCATAGGAGCCAGAGTACAATTAATTTACATACCAACCAAACAAGGTAATCTAACAGTTCATAGGAGCCAGAGTACAATTAATTTACATACCAACCAAACGAGGTAATCTAACAGTTCATAGGAGCCAGAGTACAATTAATTTACATACCAACCAAACGAGGTAATCTAACAGTTCATAGGAGCCAGAGTACAATTAATTTACATACCAACCAAACGAGGTAATCTAACAGTTCATAGGAGCCAGAGTACAATTAATTTACATACCAACCAAACAAGGTAATCTAACAGTTCATAGGAGCCAGAGTACAATTAATTTACATACCAACCAAACAAGGTAATCTAACAGTTCATAGGAGCCAGAGAACAATTCATTTTGGTTTGATTTTCTATTGAAAACATCAGCCATCCTCTTTGGCACTTTGTGGAAGGTTTCCAGACCTAAGTTACTCCTTTTTTTTACCTTAGTATTTCATCAAATTGATTGAGAGAGATATACTTATGAAGTGTATTTCTCCTTCAGAATTTTTTCAATTATTTTTCATTAAAGAGTGTACGTAAGAAAATGAAGTTTCTAAAGATGTATCCCATTGTTCAAATATAACAAATCCGATGCACACAGACCCCTTAAATATGTAAAAAAAAAAGCTGTTTTGTGTATACATTTTCCCAATATTTTGCCTCGTACCCTTAGGTAAAGAGTTATTGAGGAGCTTTGTTTATCACGATAGAACGTTGCAAGCCTTAGGCAAACTAAAGAGAGTAGTTCAATAAATGACCTTGTAGATAAGTGAGATTTACATATTCTTCTGAAATAGAGCATTTTCTATTAAAAAAAGTACAAAATGAAATGTTACCCCAAACTTTTTTAATTTCATGCAGTGATACTTAATAGGAGACATTTCAATCTTTTACTCATATACAATTTTCCATTATTAATGCAAACATGCAGTTAAATCATTTACCGGTACACAAAAGATTTTATATTCATTACCATTTGTCATTTTCTCAACATTTAATCTTATTTGAAATAATGTGTAAATACATACCTACATGTACATGTGTATACAATTGTACATGTATATACCGGTATTGTTTACATGTATCTTTCACATGAGTTTTTCCATATTTGTAATAATTATTATGCCTATGTATTGTATAACACATCATTAATGTACCATGTGAATGAAGTTTTCTAATAAATACAAAATAAAAATAAAAATACAACTTTTTATCAACAGGGCCATTATATGATAGCTATAGCAGCTGGTACCGGTATCACTCCCATCATTCAGGTGATGAGGCATATTATAGAGAATGAGGAGGATGAGACAGTCTTCAGACTTCTCTACACCTGTCGCAACTATGATGAGATTCTTCTCAGGGAAACTCTTAATGAGTTGGCTCTTTACTGGAATATCACCATTATCTTTAATCTAACTCAGGTAATAATATAATACTTTGTTCTTTGTTCTGTCAACATTTCAATGCGCTAAGAAACTCATCCATTTGTACATCAAGAAGGAATTGACTACCGGTAGTTGTTGATAAGTATTCCCTGTACAGTCACCTATGAACTGTGCCATAGATCAGAAATGACCTAGTGGCATACTTGCTGCCCAGATAGCAGTACACGTTGCAAGTTCAAATCCCTTCTGGATCAAAGAGTTTTTTCTTTATTTTACAATCAAATACAAATCATGCAGCTAGCTCAGGCAAGAGCTCTGGGATTTGCAGCAAAAACGTACCTATGTGTATGTACATATTGTTATTGCCGAAGCAGAGAAACAGAGAAATGGGAGCTTAAAATGTTGATTCATGAGTATTGCTCTTCCAAAAAGCCATGCATTCTTTGATGTTCAATTGAACTGACAGGTTCATTTTGTTAATTTGTGTGCCTTATCATTGACTTATCTGTGGTTGATTATGTGTGGGAAATAAGCATGTTTGCCTGCATGTTAAAGAGAAAGTCGAGTTCTGGGAAGAGGTGAAAAAAAAAATTGTGAGCGTTATCATTGTTATTATGCAAGTGTGGAAGAACATCAGATAACAAATGTTCCCTGAAAAGCATGGCTCTTCAAATGCCTTAATATTCTAAATATGGCATGTAACAGCATACAAATCGGGACAGATTTTATGCCACATGTTTGTATAGTCCAATATACATATTTCTGTGTACAGTGCTTGTAACTTTACCAAGACTGGGCCAAATTTCTTCTCATTTTGATGATTCCAGAACCTTGCAGTACACACCAATACTTACATGCTAGATGATCAACCTTTTCTGATCGATTCTGCACCGTTTCTTTCACAATGCAATCGCATGACCAGAACTCAACTTTATCTTTAACCCTTACTGTACTGGGCTATTTTGAGCACCCACTGACTGGGGGGGGGGGGGGGGCCTGGGAGGCTCCCCCCCCCCTATGATCTCGGCCGTCGATCGTCCGATGAACACGAAAATTTGCATGTTTGTAGATATTTACGTAAGGAACAAGATGGTATAATTAGTTTTTTCCGAATATGCAAATTTTTGTCGTTAGCCTAATTAATTATGCAAAATGCGCTAATTTTATGCATTTTACCGAAAACGTGTCAAACTCCACTTTTTGAATGTTGAAACTCATTATTCATATGAAACTTCTTTTCTAACACAAAAAAGTTATTTTAATGTAATTAATAATGATAATTTATGCAAATTTTGATGCGATTTTCATTTTTTTTTTTTTTTTTGATGACATGCGCATACTAATTGTTATGTAACGCCTTACAGGTATATCCGATTTTGATGAAAATGGTATCAAAATGTGCGTAAGACTTGAGGGAAAAAAGTCATGAAACGACAATTCAAAATTCCAAGCGGTTGCGGCGCAATCTCCGAAAATGTCGAGGGGGGGCCTCCCAGGCCCCCCCCCCCCCCAGTACAGTAAGGGTTAAGTAATCCTTGTTTCTTGTATTTGCATCTTATGCAGAGCTTAGCAGGCAGCCATCCCACAGAGTACGGAGAGATCATTCAATATGGCCGCTTTACTCAAAAGAGACTATCCAAAGAGGTGGCTGCATCCATGGGTCGACCTGTGAGGGTGCTAGTCTGTGGAACTCGTTCTTTTGAAAATGACATGATCACTTTCCTGAAAGAATCAGGAGTGCAAGCCAATTCCATAGAGAAGTTTTAACACACAGGGTATTTTAACAATGATTATTTGTGTTTTCCTTATCAACACATGTGACATCATAACTATATCCATGTTAAGAGCAGGGATATTGTAAATGGCATTGTGTGTTGGACCCAATTCTTTGAAATATCTGTTCAAAGTTTCTCAAAGAAAAAACAAAAATCTGAATGTCCAATTCATGGACATGGTGTGCATAGAGAAATATTTTAGTATATGCATGGGGATGTTCCATTGGTCCTCTGTACATGTATGGTCTATTCGATATCTATTTGTATCAATGTTTAAATGTAACTGATATGCATAATTGCAAATCATTCAATCATTCAATCATTCAATCAATCATGCTAGAGCGCCGTATGGCAGCCGTGCTAAAGCCAGGGTAATAATCGGGAGCGCCAGGAGGGTCAAATCTGACTGACATGAGCGCTATACAAGAACCCACTATTACTATTATTATTATTATTTCAAGTCCACTGGAATACCAAATTAATTCTCATTTCAGGGAGTAACAAACTAATGATGCTGGCAGTGAGGCACATGTGTGTGTCATTTTAATTGTACATTAAAACCTTATTTAAAGATCACTATTACACCAATTGTTCATTATAACAAGGTAATGCTGCCAATCCCTTTCTTGCATATTCTATCAAGGTTTATACATTTTTGAATATTTTTTAGCCTTGTTAAAAGAAATGCCATGTCTTATTTAGTAAATTATATTAGGGTTCGACTCTATATATGCACTTTTCTCCTGTAGTGAACCAAGGTTATTTTGATGACTAACAGCAATGAGGTGACAAAATTCCATGGGTAAAGTTTCAACATATTACTCTGTATGTTTCTCCACTTTCAAGGGATCTGTGTTTCCTAGATTTGGGGGAACCTATTATTTTTAAAATACTGTATACTTGGATGATATCCCTGCATCGGGAGTTTCTAAGAAGTTCAGAATTGTAGTATTCATGAAACTGAAATATGAAAACATTTGAACGCTAATGGCAATATACAGATTTAAGACAGTCATGAGTATTTTCTGCGATATTGCATATACCACAGAGATACCAACTCCAAAATATTTGTTTTCATACATTAGAATCCTGCCATTGTATTAGCAAAGTTGGCATCTTTGCTGTCATGGTTTGACACACGAAAGATTTTGACACGGGTTTCTTCAATTTACTAATGGAATTTAAACAATGAATTTTAGAATGTAAACTTGATTTCTAATTCTTTCTTTAATATTGTGTGCAATGTATTTGCTTCAAATTTTTAACTTTTTAACTATTTGTATATATTTTCAAACCTTAACATGATTCAAAGGATAAAATACATGTAAATAGTCTAAGATTTTTCCAATAAATACCAATATAATGATATATAACTTCAAAGTATGAAATTTTGTTTATTATTTGTTGTGGGAGACAAAAAAAAAGAAGAACATAATAGAAAGATGATGGTTAGAAAAGTTTGATCTACAAATTTTAAAATTTTCTTTCTTGCCTTCTATTGTTCTTTATTGTTTTTCTTTGTCCACAAAAAGAGTTAACAGATACACATACTCTACATATAATGGTCACACACAATCTTTTCATACTTTTTCAGGTTTTATTACTTCAAATTGAATTTACAAGGTTAATATACAGATACAGTATGTACATTTAGATGATGAAATAGCCTTGAACGTAGGTGTTGTCATAATTTGCACTGGTAGAGTTATCATTGAGGTGGAAGAATGGTAAAGGAAATTCATGTATGCGGGTGGTAGGAAAGAGATATAGAGAAAGAGAGAGAGAGAAAGGGGGAGGGAAGGGGAGGGGAGATATATATGGATATGAATTGTAGCAAATAATAGTAAGAGAGAGAGAGAGAGAGAATAGGAAAAAAAAAAAGGGGGGGGGGGTTGATGGATACAGGGACCTCAAGATTTGAAAATGATCATGGTGAGCAAGAGGGAGGAACTGAGAGAAAACGGGAGAGAGAAGGAGCAGAGAGAAGGCAGATATGATACACTTTAGAGAGATTGAAATTATAATATATAAAGGGAGGGTCAGATCAATCATAAATAAATTAAACCATCTTGTGGCCATGCGCTTGTGAATAACATCAATTATATCGTGAAATACAAAAACTAGAATTACTAGAACTATTATTCAACTACATGTAGTTTCAAAGCTCACATTACATCAAAGTCTACATCACAAGATTTTGATTTATACTGGAAAGATATAAAGCTAGTTTGAAAGAAGGAAGAGATTATAAAAATGTACGTATTGTAATTGTGTAAAAACTGCGCATTGAAAATAGAATGGTCCAGATTAGCTAGGGTCTTCATGGACTGCGATTCAAGACAGTAAACCTAAGGGAAGTGAACAACCTTCTATTCCATAATTATACAATGTTGTATCTGTTTCTGTTTTTTAATGTAGAAATTATATAACATCACAATTTGTTGGACACATATGAAAACAAATCAGAAATAAAAACTGCTAGCTTTCTTTTTAAAGAAAGCGCACACGGCCTTACAAACACCCAATGTTAATGCAAAACAATCTCGCGTTATCCAGTATTTACATTGTAATGGCACGGATCGCAGTTTCAAGATCATGGAGTCGGAAATACGTGAAATGTAGATCACTAAAACCAAACTATATCACACCATATTCGTAAGACAATGCAATAAAACAGCAGCAAACAAAAACTTTTTCAACCATATAAGTGCAGCAAAATAAATAATTCAAATGCTGATGTACAATGTATGATGTACATGGTTGAAACGTCAAAAGATAATTATATATTCACTGACTGATCGTTTTTACTGCAATTTTATCTTCTCGGCTTTGGAACGTGAATTTTTTTTGCTGAAAGAAATAGCAAACAAAATTAAATATGCTCATCACAAATTCACAATAAAGCGACCAAACTGACTATCATATATTAATTTTTCGGTGTCTTAAATTACACATATTGTTTTGTTAATCTGTTGTTGAAGTTTCACCTTGTATTCTATTGAAATAAAAATAATATATATTTTATATTTGTAACGTTGGGAGATAAAAACACGTTTCCTTCAATTTGATAAATTTGAGAGCTGAAAAAGAAATGCATACTCCATAGTCATGTTAATCTACAACAAGAATAACAAACAAACCATTCCATAAAGTATTTATAAAGGGTGCATTTCCTGGCTGTTACAAAACGCCTAACAGTTGACGTCCCTCATATTTGACACTTTTACCGATCAACCGAAGCCGACATATATAAACACACAACAATTAACATTCTCTTGCAACAAATGGGACTGCAGAAGTCCTTGGGCTGGTTTATTATAATTGGTCAGGGTTGGTGGGTGGAGATCCTGCTCGGAAATACGGAATCCATTCAGACTGATTTCAGGGGGTCAGTTACTCCATCACATCAACTGTCTCATGTTCGGCAGTTTGGATGTCTAGTTTTACAACGTGCACCTCCAATACAGCGGGTAGTACAGAGAACTGGAAAAAAACATGAAAGATGAAATATAAATGTGGTAGAAAACTGAAAGATAAACTGTTGCAAACTGACCATTTAATATGTAATGTTGCCTATAATCCCTGTATATGAAAGATTGGAAGTTTGACTTCCCCATCTTTTAACCAACAACTGACCCCATGACACTTCAGTGTTGAAGCATTCTTTATTTCCATTAACCCTTACTGTACTGGGCTATTTTGAGCACCCACTGACTGGGGGGGGGGGGGGGGGGGGCCTGGGAGGCCCCCCCCCTATGATCTCGGCCGTCGATTGTCCGATGAACACGAAAATTTGCATGTTTGTAGATATTTACGTAAGGAACAAGATGGTATAATTAGTTTTTTCCGAATATGCAAATTTTTGTCGTTAGCCTAATTAATTATGCAAAATGCGCTAATTTTATGCATTTTACCGAAAACGTGTCAAACTCCACTTTTTGATTGTTGAAACTCATTATTCATATGAAACTTCTTTTCTAACACAAAAAAGTTATTTTAATGTAATTAATAATGATAATTTATGCAAATTTTGATGCGATTTTCACTTTTTTTTTTTTTTTTTTGATGACATGCGCATACTAATTGTTATGTAACTCCTTACAGGTATATCCGATTTCGACGAAAATGGTATCAAAATGTGCGTAAGACTTGAGGGAAAATAGTCATGAAACGACAATTCAAAATTCCAAGCGGTTGCGGCGCAATCTCCGAAAATGTCGAGGGGGGGGCCTCCCAGGCCCCCCCCCAGTACAGTAAGGGTTAAATTGAAAGTTCTGTTAAATCTGAGTAGAAATCTTTGTTCAACAAATCGACCAAGGAGATATAAATGATTTAAGGAGCAAGACAATCTTTTATTTATTGTGAAGCTGTTATTGATATGGAAGACAAAAGCCTACTGATTCTTACCATGTTCGCAACGAGAACCAGTAAATCCATAGGGACATTCACAGCTGTATGGTCCCACACACTTCCCTCCATGGAGGCAGGGTAACACACATACTGGTCTCTCAAGAGATGCAAGAGAACCAAAGGCTATCAAGGGAGAAAAAAACGAACAAAAAGTAATAAATCATCAGAAAATAAATGAATTAATAACACTGCACATTAATTTCAAACAGTGGTAGGGGCTAACCATACTTAGTTAAGGAGATTAAAGACTAATATTATAGTGTAATAATGTGAATTCTATGAAAGAGTTCCACAAATGAGATATATATCTATTCATGAGGAATAAATGATGCCCATTTCGTCTATATTTCAAAAGTCGCTACAAATTACGCAGTAGATAGATTTAATTGGATTCGTGTAGCATACAATTGTCTGGTCTTTACTCTGTAAGGCTTTTCTGCTAAAATATCTTTGATTGATTGATTCAATTGGCATCTTATTTTCATTTCATATCACATTCAGTATAATCGTGTAAAGCCGCTTTTCTGGCTTTAAAACAACAAAAAATTATCAATTAAATAGCACAATAAAGGTTTGGGCCAAAAATTAATAATTTGCCATAATATTGAAAATGGGTGCCCACAAAAAGAAAGGCCCATATACATGTATCACATTAACAAAAAACTATAAATTAAGATGATAAATTTCTAACTCACCAACGCATTTAGGTATCGAGTCATTCCATGTATTATCTGACATACATCTGATAGAACTACTCCCAACCCTGTAGAATCCTCGATTACACCTGAAACTGACAACGTTTCCAGGAGAAAAGCTTTCTCCAAACATTCTTCCATTATCGATCGGAGGAGGTGGTATGCAGCCATCGGCTTCACATTGGGGCAAGGAATGACTCCACGTCCCTTCGGAGGTACAGTGAATCCTGCTGGTTCCAACAAGCTTAAAACCATTGCTACAGGAAATAGTAACGGTGTCTCCAACTGCATTTGAAGTACTTGAATAAACCATGTTTTCACTGACTGGGAGATCTGGGCAAGTCACAAGATGGCAAAGTGGTAGTGGGTTACTCCATGTTTGGTTCGCATTGCAAGATGCTGTTGCCTGACCTATAAGGGTGTATCCACTATTACATGTATATGTTACAATGGATCCAAAGAACAATGCTCTGTATTCTGCATGGCCATTCTCAGGTGCTTCAGGTGGCGGACACTCTAGAGGATCGCATGAAAACTCTGTCAATGACCACGTTTGATCTGGAAGGCACTCGGCCATACCTTCTGATGATGGTTGAAAACCATTCTCACATTCTAGCTGTACAAAGTCACCAACCACAAACCTTGTCTTATCGGCCGGGTAGATGACATGTGGTATGCGAGGTAAAGCTTGACAAGGGTTCGGTGAACATTGGGGCTCCTTCTCACTCCAAGTTCCATTTGCTAAGCATGTTCTACTTCTTGGCTGATTCGTTGAGTAACCATCATGGCATATATAATGAACTTGGCTTTGGTACACTTTGCTTTCTAGTATCACCTTTCCATTATGTGGGTTGGTTAAAGGACCACACTTGACAGGTCGGCATTGTGGAGGGTAAGGTAGCCAGCTCCCGTCGCTTGTACATCTGACGACCTGGACACCGTGCATTGTGTAGCCAGAATGACAGTCATAAACTGCAGTACTGTTGAAAGTTATGGCCTTGTAGGAACGTACGCCATTTATTACTATTGGCGGTGTATCGCATGATATTGGGCGACAGGCAGGCAAAGACCCGCTCCAAGTCTGGTCTGCCTGGCATATCCTCCTATCTTCTCCACGCATCTTGTACCCTTCATTGCAGCGATACTGTATTTCATCCAACAGTTGCATATTACCAAGATTGATAATGATACCATGTTCTACATCATCAGGCTGCTGGCAGGTGATAGGTTG